GCCCATGGACCGATGATCTTCTTCGAGATTGGAAGCCCTGGATTCTGCCTGAGGATTCGGTTTCCTTGACAGAATCTAGCGGTGATCTTCTTCTTCTTTTTTTTTTAATTTTTTGGGTGGTTAATTTTGATTTATTGATGCGATTCATGGCAAGTTTGGTATTGCAGTAGAGATCGGGTGCTGCAAATTTTCTGCACTAATAAGTTTAGGTGGATTTAATGGTACTGAAAAATAGTTATTTTACCTTAAATGAGTAAGCTTCGTCTTGGGTCAGCATTGTTAATGCTTGTTATTCGTGTTGCTGAATTTTTTGGCGTGATGATTTTGACAGGGTTTGCCCCCTAAAAATACCTTTAAAAAAACTCTCAGTCATGGCATGTGACTCGTTTTGTTAATGCTTAGATCTTGTTAGGATACAAGTCACATACCTTGAATGTATATTTTTTAAAAGTTTATTTTTGGTTTTTTTAGTGCTAGCAAACCCTCTTTAAAGGTGGTTTCTGTATAAATAAATTTAAAACTGGTTTCCATATAGCTTCCCTATTTTTAAGGTGGTTTTCAAAAAACCCTTTTTTTAAGGCAAGGAACTAGGCATTTGTACCCTTTTTTACTTATGTATAACTAATTATTCAAGCCAACTTTTTTCAGAGGGAGGAATGTTGTTACTCGCAAACTAATCCACTCATTTGACACAATTTGGTCGATACAATATGTAACTATGTTTCACCGGGCTCCTGAGTTAACAAAACCTAACTGTTACTTGTGGCATCTCAGAATTCCTTGTACAATACGTAAAACATAGGGTAATAACATGTCTAAATTTTTCTCCTAAATTTTTGGACTAGTGGTTGATACTATCATGCACAGTCAGCGTCATGTGTCTCTCAACCTCATTGCCGTGTGGTTTTCTTGCAGGAGATCAAGACCTGGTTTTAGGGACTCACCGCACATTATGTGGGCATGAAAACAAGCAAAAAGTGAGTCTTTTCCCAATATATGTTTCTTCCAGCAAACAAAAATGGCTGCGGTTAAGCTATATGGCACGGGCTATGGAATCAATTTGTCAATTGGGAGAAAATTTAAAGTCTCAATTAAAGGTTCTATTAGAGGTTTGTTCAAGGCAAAGGAGTGGCATTTGTCGGGTTTTAGGGTTGTGGATGAGCGCAGATGAAGAAACTTCTTCTTTGTTCTTGGTCTGTGAGAGATTCAACCAGACTTTAACTGGTGTACTAAACGAAGAAGGAAGGTGGAGATTAGGATTGGAGACCGCCGAAAAGTTTGGTTTAGGGATGCTTGTAATGGAGTTATGTGAAGTGGTTATGAATTTTCATTCCAGAGGTGTTGTATTTGGTTGCTTGGGGCTGGATTGTTTTTCATTTGACATGTACGGGCATTATCTTCTTGATTTGAATAATGTTTTGGTTAAATCGAAGATATTATACAAGGAGATTGAATACTTTGACAAGGCTCAAGGATGCCTAAGCCCTGAGGTGTTTCTTGCATTGCATGGGGGAAATTTTTCTTTCGATCGTGGTTCGGATGTTTGGTCTTTGGGTTGTATGTTGTCCATGATTATTATTGGAGATGCAGAGCTTGCTACAGAGTTGTTTGAAGATTCCAAGTGCCTACTTTTGAAAGGTAACTCTGAAATGTTTGCTGATTCATGCTTGAGTCAGTATGAGGTTTGGAGGGAGAAGGTGACATCTAAATTAGAAGCCTTGTTGACGGGAACAAAGCTTGATCCTTTGTTTCCAGTACTCTCGTCTTGCTTACAGTATCACATAGAAAGTCGGTCCAAAGTCAGAGATATATGGTACTGCATTAGGAGACATTTTGGTGCAGTTCCCACTGACAATGTCACTTGCGATGAAATTAAAGAAAAAGAATCTAAATACGAGTTAGTAAGCTGCTTATTTATTGGTAGCATGGGTTATGTGCCTAAAGTAACTGGTGGGGTTACACAGCAACTAGATGATGCCATCGTCTCAGAAAATGTATCCGAAGTGGGGTTGGCTGGAAGCAGAGCTACAAATGCGGATAAACTGCAGCAGGAGGAAGTAGATGGAGATTCTGCCAAGAGTCTGCTTGATGGAACTTTTCAATTTGATGTACTTCAAGGACACCATGACTGCATTACAAGCTTAGCAGTTGGAGGTGCATTGCTATATTTCATAAGCTTCTCTTTGCTTCTATACTTCTTGTTCTTTTGATGGAATGTGTATCTCTAGAGTCTTATGCAGTTCTAGTGCGAAAAATATGTTCAGATAATAATATGAAGGATCCTAAAGATAACAAAATTGTAAAACTCAGTTTGAACTAACACCCTGTGGTTTCTGAGAATTCAAACTTATATAATGTTTTCTTCATTTGTAGGTGGATATTTGTTTAGCTCCTCATTCGATAAAACGGTCGGTGTGTGGTCCCTGCAGGTACACTCTTGCAAAGGTACTACTTATTAGAAGGATGACATTATAGTTTTTTAAGTATTCATGTACGTATAGCAGTTTTTACGTTTTTATGCCATCTACTAAGTATCAATTATTCATCTATTAATGACAAGCTTCAATGGAGTTATCTCTTTCTTAATCAGGATTAACAGACATGTGCCTTTTTGACTTGTGCAGATCAATTTACCTCTATACTCTACATTATTTTGCATATAGTAGCCACATAAACTGAGATGATTTATCTGTGCACTGTAAATGTGATGTTCAAGGGAAGCACAACCTCACTCTCTGGTGGGAATTTGTTTCTCCAGTAAGATATCTAGGGTCGGTCTTCATGCTTGTCTAGAATGTGAACTTTACTGTAGTTTAGGTCTCTTCATGCTTGTGTAGCTTTTATGCAGACAATACTTCATCGAGCTAGCTAGTAGGATTTCTTAGGCATGTGGGAGCTTCTTTCTTCCTTCATTTTAGCTTATTTGACTGTGTTCCCTCTATCTTTGTAGTTTTCAAGGTTCCGCTTATACCCAGGCTCTAAAAGCTTGTATCCATTCTGTAAGGCTAACAACAGACAAGACTACTTGGGCCTGATTGTCACATAAGGATCAAGCACTATTACACGTCCTCCCTACATAGGAGGATGTGTTTTATTCTCCGCAAGTAGTTATTCTCCCTTCCTGTGGCAGTGATCTTGGCAGCTTAGGGACTTCACCTGTGCACCATAAGAAAAGGAGAAAAGAGGATTGCTTTAGAGTGAATATATCTATTCTATCGCAATAATAAAAAATAAAACTTTGAATCACTGCTGGAGATCTCACTTTTAAGAAGAAATTTGCAGCTATTTTGGATCATATCACATGAATCCTTCTTGACCAACCTTTTAAGGACATATTGGTGCCGTTCAAGCCCTTTACTATTGACTTTGGTTTAAGTTAACCATGATCTTCACAATCATTTCTGCACAAATCCAATCAACGGCCCTACCTTACTGCTGAAGTTATTAGATGAAGTAGTAATCTGCTTCTTCCTAAAATTGAGTAGGCTTACAGCTATTTAAAAGGAAATTTTGTAGCTTTACCAGCTTAAGTGTGTAGATGAGAACGTTGGAAACTAAAAACATGCGAGGTTTATGACTTAGAAATACCAAGGAAGTACATGGGTGTAAGAAAGGTAGTATTAGCACTAGAGGAAATCCTACGAGTATCCTAAGATGATTTTGACATGTGTGGACCTATGGTGTCCTGAACTCGGATGATTTTCCTTTTGTTGATTGAGCCTATGCCTTTAAGATAAAATTATCTCAGATGTGTTTATATTAGAATGCTCAGTAGTCATTATTTTCATGTTATCTACTTTTATCAGATTAACGGAGACATGTCTTGTTTGAGTTTCTTCTCTTCATGTTGGACAATTGTGAACAGAAACTGGTTATATATTGATGTCTATATTTATGTTTATTTTCCAGTGATGAGCATATTATTTGAATATAATAATGGTGCAGTGTATCCTGGCCGCAATATGTTTAAGTGAAGAATAGAACTGAAATCTTAGATACTACCTCACACACAACTTTCATTTTTTTGATTGAGCTCACATCTTTACTGTCGAGGCATTTACCTACTTATCAATTTTAGTGACTAGGTAGTACACAGTAATATTTTACTGGTTGATAGTTGATGTTACTAACTATTATATCAGCATGGCTATGTAGTTATTAGTTTCACGTTATCTACTTTTGTCAGAACAAACTAAGGCATATCTTGTTTGGTTTCGTCTCCCCATGTTGGGCTGTGGATTGAAAATGGGTAGATATTGATGTCTAGTTTATATTTATTTTCTAGTAACAAGTAAAAAGGAGTGTTATTTGAATATAACAATGGTGCATATCCCTACTACAATATGTTTAAAAATGAAGAATAGAACTGAATAATCATAAAATGGGTCTCTCATATTGATAATAACACAAATGTCACTAAAATCCTGTCTTACAAGGCCAAATTACTTGGAGTCAGGTATCTCTAGTATCCTATCCTATGTAGTGGTTTAATCTGGCAAAGACTGAGCTCACAGTCCACTGCATAAATTATAAACTATAGAAAAGAAACACATCCTTAATTTATCATGATTCAGTGTCAAAATATATTATATATTTGTTTCCGCTACTATATGTGAACTCTTTGTAATACATTAATTTTTTCAGTACATTGCTTTCTTAGATAGAAAAGTCGATTTACTTAATATTAAGTTTACAGAATCACATTTAAAAATAGCTTGACAGAAAAGATCAAACCGGCAAACTGTATGAAATGTTTAATATTATAAAAATGCTGACCTTCAAAAATTCTGTACAAAAAACTTTTAAGAATTTGAAATGCATTAAATAATTATTAATATTGTTTGCCTTCTATGTTACTTTCATTCCCTTCTTGGTTTCTAGTTTTTCTCATCTTGAAGAGACCTTTTTCCTGCCATCAGTTTTTGATTGCTTTGTCTTGTCAGGATTTTTCTCATATAAAATCTCTAAAAGGTCATGAGCACCGTGTCATGGCTATGGTTGTAGTGGATGAACCAGAACCCCTTTGCATAAGTGGTGATAATGGAAGTGGCATTTTCTTGTGGAGAATTGGTACCTCTGTTGGGGAAGAGCTGGTACAGAAATGGTATGAACATAATGATTGGCGCTACAGTGGTATTCACTCCTTGGCCATTTCAGGAGAATATCTATACAGTGGAAGTGGAGATAAGTCAATTAAAGCATGGTCTTTGCAGGTAGTCTCTTAAATCTGTGTGTATAAGCCTTCCCTATACTTAATGCTTGATAGATACGCAATCACACATTATACATAAGCATCAAAGTCTTCCTTCTCAAAACCATAAGTCAGTTGTAACCATCCTGATGAATGAAAACACGTGATAGCTTGTACTCTTAAAGAAAACTGAAAGTTGTCTTCTATGAATTGCATCGTGCATCTTTACATGGGCTACTGATTGGTTCAAGCTAATCACTTAAAAGAATTTAAACTCCTCAAACAGGAAGAATTAACCAGGTGGAATATAATACAGATACATTTAATTGTTAATTTGGAGTGCTGTTAGTTGCATAAGGTTGTTCTTTGCTGATTTCATCATAATCCAGCATGTTTAAGTCATACCTAAGTTAACTGTTTAAAGATTTAGTCTGGCATTTGTACAGTGGCACATATGTTTAATTATTCATGTCATTTATGTTTCTATTATTTCGTTACAAATCTTATTCATATTGGTAAATGAAGGGAGGTAAGTTCTTCAGATATAGGTAGAATGTTATTGGTTTAGAATCTGTGACTCACATGATTGGTTTAGAATCAGTTATGAAAATTCAGTAGATATGAAGCGTGCTGAATTACCTCATTTCTGTAAGATACATGTAGAATGCTGAAAGTGTCTTTAGACTATAATTCTAGGCTATTTGTCTAGTCGTGATGAATGATCTCTTGTTTAAGCATGATCAAGAACTCTGAATCTTCCAGCAGCAGGACATGTTGTAGATTTGATAATCTCTAGATGATTATCGTCAATGAAACATTTTCTTTGTCCATCTTAATATCTCCTTCTGAAGAGTCTGTTCTTCTCTGCTCCTTGTCTTTCAGTAATTCTTCTTATGTTTTCTGCTCTTTCTAGGCAATCTTCATGTGTACATTGTCCAACAGATGTGTTGATTTGAAGTTCATATAGAATATATTTAATTTTATATTGTACCTTTACAAGTCAACAAGCTCTAAGTTGCATGAGTTGTCACTTGTCACTTTGGATTCATTGCTTAGTGTTCTTCTTTTGAAGCCTATTTTCATGTTTCATAATCCCACAGGATAACAACAAATCTGTGACATCACCTTATTAGAATACCTAAGAAACGCACGCCACTCTGTAATCAACACTAATTCAACAAAAAATCTGTACATTCCTGGATTTTATGAAAAATATACCCAAAAGGACTTCTAAACAAAATAAAATGAACCAACCGACCTACTATAATAGGTAGTGCAACCCCGTTCGTGGTCCTAAAAATACCTTTCCTGTAAGAACGAAAGCCCAAGGCGTAATTTTCCTTGTACAAGCAGGCTACCTACTTTCCCCATAGCGGAATAGGATTTTATGTAGTAGTCCTCTGCTTGACATCTTTATAGCAGAGAATTCCCTAGTTTGATAAAAGAACCTACCAACTTAATGGATTAGGGAGCCCAAAGCCATCCAAGAACGTAAAATATATCTACAGTAGGGCCATAACTCTTTAATCAACCTTAGGATATATTAGACTCGAATCTGCAAGTGGGGTTTTAAAATCTAAAACCCAAATTAGATCGACTCAAATGCCTCGACATGATTTAGCGTGTTTCTGCACATACCAAGTGGAAGTTGTGATAAGTGTTAAGTGCACCAGTTGAACCAGACTAGCCCGGTCTGGAAAAGTTTATTATTATTATTTTTTATATAGAGCTAAAAGCATATTTATTTTGGAGAAGAAGTTGAGGCATTTTTGTCACATCTGTTATTTCCTTCACTTTCCACCTTGTGCTTATTTTTTTGTCTGACATACTTTCATTTCTTAATCTTCAGGGATTCTGTCCTGTCTAAAATTTCTTTTTTTTAAGGCTTCAAAAACTTTGATAATCCTCATTGCACTTGGCAAATTTTTACACATATACTTTCTGCTAGTCAAATTAAATAGTTAGCTCATAAAGTTTTTACCTTTTATTTTATTTTCCATGATTGCAGGATTATTCTCTTGTATGCACAATGACAGGTCATAACTCCACTGTATCTTCGTTAGCAGTGGCTAATGGAGTTCTTTACAGCGGAAGTTGGGATGGAACAATTCGGTTATGGTGCCTTAGTGATCATAGCCTTCTGTCAGTATTAGGGGATGATACTAAAGGAGCCATTGTCCCCATTCTCTCACTTTCTGTGAATCGCCATTTTCTTGTGTCTGCCTATGAGAATGGAAGCATAAAAGTAAGTCGTACGTTGGTCTTAGTTTATGTTTTTCCATTTATCTTTCCATTTTCCAAGGGTAAAAATTATGTCTCCCTACTTTTCCTCTTTCCTGATACCATTAAAATGTAGATCTAAGTTAGATATTGTTATGAGAGGGTTTAGTTTATTTAGAAGGTAATTAGTTCCTGATGTAATTAGTACTTTGGAAAGTTATTCTTTCCTCTCTTTTCTATCTGGTTACCTTTCTAATTAACATATAGAAAACCAGTGCGAGGCTTTTAAATCTTTGGAAATCCGTTTTGGTGTCTCCCCTTGGCCTTTCTCTTTGCTACTATAGTCATTGTCCTGGATTCATAAATGTTTTCATAGCTATTATCAATCACTGCTGACACTTGCAACAATATAGTATATATCTAATAT